TTCTTCTTCTTCTTCTTCTTCTTCTTCTTCTTCTTCTTCTTCCCCTTCTTCTCCTTCCTTTTCTCTCTCTCTCTCTCTCTCTCACTCTCTCTCTCTCTCTCTCTCTCTGTCTCTCTCTTTGTCTCTCTCTGTCTCTCTCTATCTATCTATCTACCTATCTATCTACCTATCTATCTTCTATTACCTATCTCTCGCTCACATACACACATACATACAGACACACATACACTCACACATTTGTTCGGAACTTATTTGACCTACCACTGGGCAGGTGCCTGTGAAGGTTTTTTGTGTTTTGTTTTGGTTTTGTGCAATAACACCGATATTTCCAACCGAAAGATAATAATTTTGAATACGTGTGCTCTAACCTGCCTCAACCTGCCTTGCCTTCCAGGTACGTGGCGGTCTCCATAGACTGCCCGGTGCCACAGGACACTAGACCCAAGCTCTCCGCCTTTTCCCTGCTCCGAACCAGCGAGAGGAGTAATTATTTCCCCGTCATCTACCCAGGAAAAGTGAAAGTGAGTTATTGAACGTGGTATGGGGTGTTATGGTAGGGTAGGATAGGGTAGGATAGGGTGTCGTATGGTGTGGTGTAGTGTGGTATGGTATGATATGGTATGGTATGGTATGGTATGGTATGGTATGGTATGGTATGGTATGGTATGGTATTGTTTGGTATGGTATGGTGTGGTATGGTTCAGAACTTGTTTTAATGTTATATTTTATTTATTTTTAAAATAATGTAGAGTGTTTTTGCACCCTTATTGAGACAATCAAGATAATTAAAGGAGGCAGTGTGGAGTCAACCCGGGCTGAGAGGGATACCACGTCCCAGCTGAGAGGCGGTCAAGATAATCGATACAAACTCTACCCACACCAGAAACAAACTCGGTTCTTTGGCTTGCGACAGCGAAGCCCCTAACCACTACACTACAGATGCTGGCAAACCTGTTTGCTTCCCATACCTAATCATGCTAATTAATATCTACAACGGGAAGGAGCAACAAGGAAGTAAAAATGTCTCGCTCTCTGACTTACGTGTAAAATACTTTTGTACAGAAGAAGTTCTTACGTGAAGGCAACCAATGAAAGCGTATTAGCTTTGTTCGAAGTAAATTTTAGCTCTTCATTTAGAACACACATGACTTAGCACGGCCATCAACTACTGTCTTCACTTTCTATGGGGTCACATGGAGGTCACGATGCATGACATCATGCGTGAAATACACATTTAGCTTATTTTATTAATAATAATAAAAGATAATTATATATAACATTTGTAAAGCTCATTACCAAAAAAAAGTAGCTCAGTGCGCTTTACATTGGAGTACCCATTTTCAAAACCTTTC